CACTCTGTAACCATTCGTCTTTAAAAATGAACAGAATCGGTAATAAACAGAGTTTAAATCTGTGTGAAGCTTGTAATGGTTAACTGTCCGTGCTGTGTTCAGGGATCCTCCACGGAGCGGGACTGTGGCAGCTTCCTAAACAGCTCTATCTGCCTGCAGAAGAAAAGTCTGCTCTGGCCTCCAACAGCCACCTGAAATATGTCTGGTATGACCCTGAAGCCGTTAAAACATATCTTCCCTTCTACAGCTTTACTGTTGCCCAGCTCTCCTTATAAGTGGGGCATGTGTTTTCACTTCTGCATTTGTGCTTTTCTTGGTTTCTCTCCAGGAAATGATGTATTTTTCTCTAGCTCTACCCTCCGTCATTTCCACTGTTTAGTTTACAAAGACGTCCGCATTTCTTTCTTTACCTTGAGTCCCACACATGGTAGCCAGTCTGCCTCTCCTTGTTCTCATAAGTACTCCGCTACAATTGTTCTTACCATTTTGCTACAAGTCTGAGCAGAGGTGTTTGTTGTGGCTGTCAAAAGGAACAGAATGCCACTAGAGAGCAGAGGTTGGGAGTCGAGTCACATGACTTGGACTCGAGTCACATGACTTGGACTCGAGTCACATGACTTGGACTCGAGTCACATGACTTGGACTCGAGTCAAACTCGAGTCATTAAAATCAAGACTTGAGACTTGACTTGAAAAAATTCTCAAAGACTCGGACTTGACTTTGACTTTCACACCAGTGGTTTCTGGATGGTAATGAAGCACATTATTTTGTGTCATTAGTGATTCTGGCTAGCTTGATTCACGCAATGTGTTTTTATCAATACTGAGATGTGAAATTAGCTGTAGATTTAACCCACTTGGACTGAAAAAAAAAAAAAAACGACTCGAAATGACTTGAAATTCCCGACTTGAGACTTGACTTTGACCGTCTTTACTTGAGACTTGACTCGGACTTGAGGACAAGTCTGAGTCAAGCTTCAGCTGTGTGAATCTCAAGAATAAATAAACTCCGATAGCAATTTGACCATTCAAAGCACTTTACACTACAGCCGTTTTTTGTCTCTCCTTTTTTCCCCCCCGTTATTTTTAAATCCTGTTTTGAGACTTGCAAAACAGTGACTTGGTCCCACCTCTGCTAGAGAGCAACAAATGGCATTCTGTTGGAATAGTTTGAAAGGTGGTAGATTGTAACTTTATTAGGATTTTATATAAAGAAGAAAAATTCTGTTGGTCCTGTTTTCTAAAAGCGTATGTGTTCCAAGCAGTAGCAGGGCGCACCGGTTGCTTTTTTCTGACCAATCTTTTAAAAGCCTAATTCTGATTTTTGCCGATACTGATTTATTTATTTATTCCCATCAGACACTGTCAGATGTTCACAATACTCCTCCAATATCCTAGGCTTATTTTATTGAAAAGTATTGAACAATACCTGTGAAACAATGCAAACCTGTTTTAACTGCACATGATGCAGTGCTCCTAAAAATAAGTGAAAAGTAGTTGGGTGGGCAGAGCAAAAGGGGACAATGGTTGAGTTTTGGACCTTGTTGAAGTAGTTAATATCAATTTCACATGTAAGTATCGGCCGATTGATCATCACCCAAAATTAAGGTACTCGGTGCACCCCCAGTCTCCAGTGTGTTAAAGGGCCAGTACAGCTTCATAGAAACATTCAAGAAAGATTTATGAGCAGCCTTTATGTACAGAAGGTTATCATGAGCTGCTTAATAAGTCTTTATGACATTTTATTGAGGGGCTGGTTTGGTTTCCATAGCTATCAAACATTTATTCCTGCTAGTTTTTAAGCTGCCATCAGGAAAATGTCCAAATTGTTGATGCATGAAAACATTCCTCTGGAGCTGTCATCAGCTGAGGGGCTTAGCGGGGTGTTTATACATACATCTGATGTTCTCTTGTGTTTTACTTGAACCACAAAGCCGTCAAACTGGTTTCCATCAGGCATTCGTCACTGCCTTTTACAACAACAGGTAGTTCGTACTTATGAGAGCTCTGGCTGCGAGCGGCTTAACACTGAGCAGACCCAAAGTGCCCAACTGTGCTCGCTTCAACATCTGTGCCGGAACGCCAGCACCTGCCTCCCAAAGTAAACACTGTCAGAGGAACATGGCTGAACACACAGAGTCACTGCTGAACATGTGTGAGGTCTGAATCACACAGAGAACTAAAGGAAAACCAAGAGCACAGGATGCATGAAGGCATGAACGGTTTGCTGAGGGGTAAATTTTGAGCAATAAATTAGACCGTATGGAAAACGTGACGATCCGTTCTGTTTGCTCCTTGGTGTGACCACAGGAAGATGCTGCAGTCTCTGGGGCGTCCGGAGCTCCACATGGCCCTGGAGGTGACCATAGTGAGCGGATCGGGTCAGGAGCATGCTGGCTGCCTGCTGCTCACCTCCGAGGTTCTGTTTGTGGTCAGCCTGTGTGAGGACACGCAGCAGCAGGCCTTCCCCATCACAGAGGTGAACACAGCGCTCCAGGTCGGCTGCAGGTGGCAGCTTCCTGCGGCTGACCTCTGGTCTCTGTGCAGGTGGAGTGTCAGCAGGAGCCGGAGCAGCCGGGCCAACTCACACTCACGTTGCAGCAGCACACGCTGAGCAGCGACTCTGAGGTGAGCCCATCGTCAGGAAGGGGGATGTGGAACTCAAAGCAGCTGACCTAAATATTTCATTATTTTATTATAATTTAATATAAAGTTCATTCACAAGTTAGTCCAACCTCTGGCTTTCTGGTTAAAACATCCACCAAATTGTTTAGATCAAATGTTGCTTTATTCATTGATGTCTAGCTAAAAGCTGATGCAGTAATAATAATCTTTACTGTCATTATAGAAGATTAAAGTAGCATTATAAAGTAGCATTTGATTTATAATTAGTCTTATGCTGGTTTCACCCCACTTCTTAAATGAATAATTTGTGATTTTTAAAGGAAAGTTCTGTTGATAGGAGGTGTTGATACTGTAAATCAGGGGTGTCAAATTCATTTTTCATTTTGGGCCACATCAAGATTATGAATGTCCTCAGAGTCGTTTGTATTAGAATGTACTGATAAAACGAACTTTTAACTAGCTGATGAAATTATTACATCTTTCTCTGCATTCAAAGAACACTCCTAAAAATCTTAATCTTTAACATCCTTTCACATTGATATAATTTGGTACAATACAAATAAAAATGGATTTGATTTTATATTTAAGCACGCAGCTGTTATCTTAAAGTTCTGTTTCTGCCATATAAATAGTTATAGCCGGCTAGATTTGGCACATGTGCTGTAGATAATCCACTTCCAGCAGAGGCTAAGACCGAAGCAAATCTCTATCTTAACATTAATCCACCTTTCCAGGTTTAGTTGAATGTTATTTTAATAAACTTGAGACTGTTGTCATGGTTGCATAGACTGGGATTTCAGCAAAAGCCAATGGTTGACAACAGAACATGCATGCAGTTTCAGTCAAGCTGCCTGATATAAGAGTTAAAAATATAACAGTTTAAGGTGACATTTATTGTTTTTCCATTAGGTAGTTAAATGTAATATAAACACTTTACATGTTTTATTCAGTGTCCATTTAATACTTGAAGATTTTTCCTTCTCTCCTCTTTCATTCATTTCATGGTAACCATTGGTTACTGAACAAATAAACTGTGTAATGCAAACATGGTGTTCAACATCCTAATCTGGATTTAGACTAAATGAAGATGCTAAGAGTTATTCTGTATAAGTAAGACATTAATTACTCATAATATTTTAACAGAACCTCAACATGAATTATTATAACATGCTACTGTCAGCAGGGCTCATTCATAAGCTAAATTACCACGTTTTAAAATTCACATACCATCACTGATGCTGCTAAATATACTCTGCTGTAAAAATTAGTTACTACAACAGAGGAAAAAATTACTTTTTGTACTTATTTTTGGCTAATAACTGAATTAGCCAAAAAGAAAAAAAGTCAAAGTGAATGTTTAGAAAAGGGACATCTCCTTCAAAATAATTTGCCGCAGTAAGAATCCCAGATTCTTCAAGCTGAGATTACTCAATGTGGTCTGCAGTTGTCATGACAACATAGTTAACATTATGTATTCTTGATGTCAGAGTTCACTTGATCAGGACCTCTGTCCCCCTGCAGGGTGACGGCGTCCGGGAGCGTTTATCAGAGCAGCAGTATCAGCGGTTGGTGGATTATGTGATCCGAGCCTCCCAGTTCGTCTCTCCGTCTGCCGCCTCTCTTCAGCTCCAGCCTCCAGTCACCCTTGCAGAACCTCCACCCTCTGTCACCAAGTGTTACCGCTACCTGGTGGATCCTGTTTTTGCCAAGGTGTTTGTTAGTAAGTTCACTATAGTGAAGAACAAAGCTCTACGCATCGGATTCCACTGATAAATCTTCACATCTAACCTATGCGCCACATTTAATGTTTGCCTTAAAACCCTTTCACTTTGTGCTTAATTCCTAACAGTTACCATGTGAACTAATCCTTTTTTTTATGTAACTGGTCACTCATGCCTTAGAGATAAAGTTTTAGGAGTAATATTTTCTTACAGAAACGTGGATGTGTAAAAATCCTTTTAATGTAAGCTCTGATGTTTCAGTGAGCATGCAGAATAGAGAACACTACAGCAGAGTTTCATCAAGTTAGTCCAAAACAAACCTCAGTGTCAGACAGAAATATTCAAGCACTTTGATGTTTCATTCTTTCGGAAACTGCTTCAGGCTGTGTTGATATTCTGTGAATTATCCCATGCCAATGTAAAGTGCAATATTTATACATGTTGATGGACTCTAGAGATACCAGCTGTTGACCAAAAGTTTTACAATGATGTAACATACTTGTTTAAAAATAAAAACACTGTTATTTGTACCTTGTGTTCATGCCAAACCCTACTGATGCAAACATGTTGCATTTTTTTATGGTGTCACTGAGCTCTCTATGAAATGCAATTGTTGATCTGAAACTTAAAAACTCTTAATAAAAAAAAATGTAACTCACATGAAGTATTCTTTTATTTTTAGTGCAGCTAAAAAGGTATTGAAACCGTGGGCATCACTACTTTCACAATCAGCAGGCCCCATAAGGCTTAGGCCTGAATAAGAAATATTCTAATATCATACGTCTTCAACTTCTTATAATCAATGTATCAGTTACTCTCTCAGCCTTCACTCCTGCTCAGATAGCAGGGATGCTCCTCCTGGGCCCAGGGTTGGGACATGTTTTCACCCTTCCTGTAATAAAATAGAAAAGGTAAAGCTTGTTACATATAATGGCTTCAAGTGCATCGTCAATGAGTTTACTTACTGTTCATTTTGGTGAACCTCCTAGTGGAGGCAATTGATGGCACCTGGGAGCCTTCCTTACTGTTTACTGACAGGATACTGGAGTCTGAGAAGAAGAGAGTTGGTGGTAAAAATCTGCCCCAACATTTAGTTTTAGTTTTTAATGTACAACAAACCACCTTGGTTATGTGTAGAGCTGTGACTTTTACTGTCGCCAAATTAATTTATTGCATTTAAATTGTAAGCCAACACTCTAAATCCGTGTATATTTATTTAGTTTTAGGTAGGGATTCATCAATGCAGAAAAACAGCTGGATTGACTTTTTTTTACACAGAGACTTAACCCTCGTGTCCAGAAATGGGGTCCAACCGACCCCACACACGTAAAACATGTATCATTTTCCACAGTCCTCTACGTTTGCCTCAGCCCTCGCACGCACAAGGGTTAAATATACTGAATTACAAATGTGATAACTCTGCACTAGTACAACACACCAATAACTTCACAAGCTTGGTCAGACGTGGAAAAACAACACAACTTTAATCCGTTCAGTGGAGTAAGGAATAGAATACCAATGGAAAATAAATAATGCATGATGTCACTCAGAACACAAAGCATAGAATTAGAATAGATCAGCCCTTATTGATGGGGACATCGTCACTGATACCCCATCTGGAATTTTTTTTCAGCATTAAGACCAATACAGATTGGTCTTAATCTGTATTGATTAAGACCATCTGATGCATCTCTACTTTTAGGTAAAACTAACTTAATTGGCTATAAATTTCTGCAAACCTGAATCTGTGGAGGCAGAATTCTCAAGCGAACTCAGCACATCCTCCCGCTCCTTCTGCTGATCTTCCATGTACTTGGAGTATGACCACAGCAGCTGAAAGGAAATGTCAAGCTTTAACGAGGTTCCATTACTGGACTGAACTCTTTCGTTTAAGTTTGTGGTTGAGGCCGACAAACATTCTCTGCAGTATTCATTTCACAATGCTTAATGTTGTTCAGGATTCCCTGAATTCAGACTTTATTTCATACACCAGCAGTTTTGATAGCTTGCTGCCCTGGGACATACAGGTATGTTAACAGGACGTGGTCAGATCATTACATAACTGGATCTCAACATCAAACCCTTGCCTAGTTACCCTCACAGCTATCGGTCTGAGTGGAATCAAAGCATGGGTCATCTAACTCCAGCTCAGCAGTAAGAGAACAGAACCACTCTGTCATGGCCGTCAGGAATCTGCTGCAGGAAATCAGTGGCCCACTAATTGACGTTAATAGTTGTCTCACCATGTCAATATCAAATCTGTTTTTTTTTCCACCTTAAGAATATTACTTGGGACTAGTCATTTCTAATTTAGCTGGGTTACTGCAATGAGGTCATGTTTAGGGATTTTCCAACAAAGCATTGGACAGGCTTTAGTGTCTGTCCAAAACTCAGCTAAATTGAAGCTTAACCAATCTAAAATGGAAAATACTTCACATTTTTGACAACTTTCAACAGAGTAAACATAGAGCTTACCTCTAAGCTGCAGTATAACTTTTACAAAAACATGTTATTTTCCATATGTATTAAAACTGTCACTGTCATGACATTATGAGGCAGATAAGCCCCCCAAAAAATTGAGCCAATGGTGGAAAGACAACTTACTAGTTTTTAAGGAACAACTTATTGTTTCAGGAAAACTGTTTATCTGTCATCATTGGTAGCTTAGTCGTACTACAGTTGTGGTCAGCTGCAGTGTAGCAAAGAGCAAGTAGGAGGGGTGAGGGCAAAAGTAAGACCCTCCTCCTGGCTCTGATTGTTTGTTTGAGTGGTTCATTTATATAGTTAGTTCTGGGAGCCCTGGGTGAAGGCAGAGGAGCTCAATTTTCACAGATTGTAAACTTTATAATTGTAAACTTTTTTTTTAAATATAAGATACATACTGCAGGTTTAATGCAAGGTTTGTTAATCGTTTTGGGTAAGAACATATGATTTTTAAGGGCATACTTTGGATATGTCGGTGAGAAAGAACCAGAGGATTTTATCTTCCCTCAGTAGAAATAATCAGTCTACAGATTATTTTTAGTTTTATGGATGAAAAAAGAAACAAAGATGTGGAAAAAAAATAGAAGTTGTGAAATGAACTCCTCTCTGACCCATCATGCAATAAGTAACTGAAAGAACACATGTATTTAATTTACATGATTGTAATATTTTGGCAGCTGATGTACTTAAATGGAATCAGGATTTATTAAAGAAAAATATAGTTATGACCAAAATTATATCCAGGCAATTTGTTTTTATGCATTTTAATTTTATGGCTGTAAAATTTTTAAAAAGTAACGAGTGAGTGATTTTTCCCAAATTCAACTTTCAGCATTTGGCACAATCACTGTGAGGTTTTCAGTTGTGCAATAGCAGCACAATTAATGAGCAAAAAACAAAAACAAAATAAAAAACTCAAAATCTGGCAAATTCCATCTACGCTGAGGGTTAAAAGTGACCACAGTTATAAACACTGCCCAAATGTGGGGCCGTTTTTCATAAAGAAAAAATGTCAGATTATGTTAGCTGAAATACAGTTTTTGGGAGCAAAGACAGCAGGAGACAATGAAATTAATGGCATTGTCTATATGTCAACTTGTGAGTGACATTTTATGTAATTTAATATATTCTCTACATTTTGTCTCTGAGAAATAACAAAGGAACAAGAACTAGTAGAGCTGTAAACATAGTCCAAACATTGAGGTGGTGAACTATGAACATGAATCAGTTCATTTTAATCTTGCCGAACTGAACTTGGAATGAACTGACAACACAACAACACTTCACCTGCACTCTCATTAGTCTTCACTTATAAACCCCTAAACACCTCAGGTCACCAGTAGGTGTCGTATACACATTTCAGACGCCAGCTTCCTGAGCCATGGCTCTACTTCCTGTCCCTCATCAACCTCTGCAGTTTTGGGGGTAAAGCTAGAACCTTATCATCTATGGCTTTTTTTTTATTTTTGAAAAAGCACAATTTAAATCAAAGTTATTATTTTTGACTGAAAAGGAATACTGGTATATAAACGTTGGTCTCAAATTTCTACACAACAGTATGAGAAACCTATAAATTCAAACAGGAAACAATCACTTCATATTATTGCTATATTGTTTTTCTATTAAATCTAACATTGTTTTTCTTGACTAAATGACAGTGAGGAAGATTTGAATAATTTAAGAACTTTATGAAAACCAGATCAATATATTAAATCCAGTTATATAAAACCTTAGAAAATGTTGAAAACCACATGACTGTAGTTAATAAAGACAAACTCCTTTTGCAGCCGTCAGTCAAAACTTTGTGCTTGTTTAACCTCGGGGCCCTGAAAATAATCTAAGTTCTGGAACCAATAGCTGCCATTAAAGGAGTTTTACTTCAGTAATAGATGCATTCTGAACAAAATGGACCATCTCGAATAGAAGAGTGTTCAACTTAAGAAAATAATTGGGATTTTGATAATGAACACTGAGGAATGATTGATGGAAATGTTTTTGCTTTTCACTTGGGCTACCATGGTTTAGTCAAGTAAGAATAACAATGCTTTTTTCACAAAAACACACAAAGTTTCTGCTTTAAGAGCAGATAAGAGTTTCTCACTGGTTCTGCGTGAATCATCAATGAGCTTTGGGGTCTTTGGAAGATCTGGGAGTCGAGTTGGAGGCTCATGGTACGTTGGATGCTGAAGCTGCTGTGTGACCTCCGAGGCATTTTAGATACGTCTTTTTGTTCCGACTCGTTATTACTGTCACGCTCATCCTTCTCCGAACTAACACAGGACTCTTGTTTCTCCCGTTCCTCCTGTAACAACTGGTCATACAGGACTGAAATGAGTTCAGATTTTAATCTTGCAGTACAATCTGGTTTCTTATAACTTCAGTTTTCTTTGTTTGTTTGGATCCACCTGTAATTTTCTTTCACTTTCCTCCTCCTCCAGTCGTCTCTGTTTCCGTATTTTGGCCCTGTGTTTGGCTCTCTTTTCCTGCAGCAGGGGAATGAGCTTTGCTTTGGAGAGATTCCTGCTGAGCACTTGAAACTTGGGCCAAAGCTTCAGCAGTTCACTGAACACAGCTATCTGGATAAGCAGAGAAGCATGAAGAATAATAAATTTTGGTTTTATTAACTGTTCTCACACACATATTCGTGTTTCTTCCCATATTAGGACTTTGTATTAACATCTGTTCTTTTTAGTAACTACATGTCTGCCTAAACCAAACACTTACCAGTATATTCCTAAAATAGGGCAAGACAATAAATCATCTGTATATTGCAATAGACATGTGATCAATATCAATGGATAATACATTTGATAGACTGTTCAATAATTTCACTGAACTCCAATCCACAGCCACACAACATTCAGGTATATGTAGGCAGAAGAAAGACTTTAGCCACTTAATCTCAGCCAGCTAAGCTAGGTAGATGGCATTGAATAACTGACTCTCTTAGGTTCCCTAGCAACAACCAGCTTTAGTGACTTACGCTGCAGCAGTTTCAGGTTTCACCACCGTGACTCATAACAATGGCATGGAGTGAAAACACTGGATAAAACAAGAAAGGTATTGCCACCAGTTTGGCAGTATTTCAGATATTTAAAACAAACAAAAAAAATCAATAACACTGGTCAACAGCCAAAAAATCGTCTGGGATTTTTCCAATTGTTTTAGAGACATTTTGATGTGTTGAATTCAAAAATCCCATTGGTTTTGCTCAATCAGGTCAACTTTCTGAACTATGGATGCAACATGAGCATCAAAATGCAGGACTTCTTTCCACATATGGATCAGTTTCCTGAGAATCTGGGATCAATGAGTGATGAGCAGGAGGAGAGATGCTATCAGGACAGAAAAGAGACAGAGACGTAATGTTCAATTCACATGAACTTACCCTTAAAAGTATTTATTATTCACTTTACAGAAATCCAGGTTTGGGACATTTAACTAATAAAATTCTGTTAGAAAATGTTTTCTCCTAAAACCTTTTTTTGGATGATAAATATTAACAGAAATAAACTGATAATGTCAAAAAAATGTAATCAACATAGTCAGAAGATCGGATTTCTCTAAATCAAATTAGAATAAAAACCTGACCTGATTGAGAAAAATGTACGTCAGTTTTGGATTCAGCGCTGCAAAACAGTCCCAAGTTCAGTTGAAAAAAAAAAAACAGACAACTTCCAAAAAATATTTTTTGTATGACAAACAGGGTTTCCTTCAGTGCCCCACCACCAAGATAAATGTTGTTTGTTACTAAACAGTGACGGTAAATACGGATTAAGCTAGGTTGATAGTTGAACTGTACGTTGGCCTCTATTATTTCCATATTATAATGCTCGCTCTTGCACCTCCAAATTATTTTAACTTTTGACATTTTTTAATACAAAAACACAGTGGGCTGCTGGAGGACTGTCCTAGCATCCCTACCATCAGGCTTAGCATGTTTTCTGGGGGAAACCCTGAAACGATTATATTGTGATTTACGTTTTCATCCATATCGTCGAACCTTATCATAACCAAAACTAAACCTAAACAAGGGGGTCCACCACATTAGTACTGGGTTTTGGCCCCCATAAGACCCATCTGTCTTCAGAAGGTTGGTAAATATTCCAGAGAAGGTCCTGAATAGAATGGCTAAACGAGTACACACACAGAGCCAGTACCTGTGCCTCTCTGAAGATATAAGGGCCGAGCTCACGGCGCCTTTCCAGAATACGCCGAGCCTGATCATGAGAAATGTTGATCTGCACAGATGGTGGGATGGAAGAGTTGATGAAACAGTTGATGATTGTGGAGATTTTATGCTGGATTATGACCATACTGCTGTGCGAATGGCAGAGGTCCTGTATTCAGAGAGAAATGAGTGTAATGCTGTAGGACCTGTCTCACACACACACTGGGAAAAAATGTCATATTTCTGAAGGTATGAGGACTGTGCAGCCGCCAGCACAGAAGCTTCTGGATCTTCACCTTATATCTCTGCACCTCCACCCAGAAGCGCACGTCATTTTCCAGTAACTCTCCTTTCACAGAGACATAGTCCTGGAACTGCTTGCAGGTGGACGGGTTGAGAAGAGCTCTCCGAAACAGAAGGATATCTCTGGAGGTACTCATCTGTGAAGCCTCCAGATGAAAACGGGGAGCTTAATGTTAATCAGTAATCAGTAATAGGTAAAACATGTTATTTGCCAATGAAAACATAATATAGAGACAATTATGTAGTCAGCTAAAGAACTTTTCTTTTCTTTAAAGGGAGCACCCTCCCTTTAAAGAAAAGTGTTTATTATTCACTTTACAGAAATCCAGGTTCTCCCTTTAAAGAAAAGGGCTTTAGCTAACTACATAATGTATTTTATGTATTTTCCTGGCACATAGTGCCATTTTACAGCACAATTAAGTAACTATGTTAACTTCAGTTATTATACAAATAATGCATATATCAACTGTGACAACAATTTCCCTTTATGAAGGAAATTATAACATGATGTAAAGCTCAAAATGTCAACTTTACATAACACTGCCCCTTTCTGTCACATGAAAGTTCAGCTAATATTTAAATCTGTTTGAAAAAGACATGAGTTAAAGTAAAGTTAGCTAAGCAAACATCCTGAAGCCTAATGTAACAGCCCAAAAAAATTTAAGTCAGTGCTTAAAGCCAAATCTTCCCTGAAAATCCCTGATGCCTGGCGAAGAAGAAATTCCTCATTTCTCTCTATTCATGAAGGGCTTCTTCTTACCTTCCTTGCTTTGATCCGGTTCAGCTGTGCGGCTCTATCGTCTGATTTAATCTGCCACACAGAAACAAAGGCAAACAGTCAGGAATCAAGACCTTGAGGAGAGGCCTCACACACGTCCCTGTGGTGCTCTCTTTCCCTGTCACTAGAACTGCATCCCTCTCTCCTTTGTCTTCAATCTCATTTGTTCTTTCCAATCTTCCTCCTTTGACCTTTTCTCCTCATTTCATCTCTTAAACATCTTTTCCACCCTTCCCCGCATCTCACTTTTCAGACTGTAATGCTAAACTACATCTACCTTTCATTACCTAATGAGAAGATCTGTGTCACTAAACCCAGTAAACTTGATAACATAATGCCGCAGAGCAGCAGAATCTGCAGTTTATGTGTTTCCACTCGAAGAAGCAACCTAAGAGAGCGACAAGCCAGTAATGGCGTTCAGTGGCCGATCCTATAACCTTAATGTGTGTATGTGTGTGTGTGTGTGTGTGTGTGTGTGTGTGTGTGTGTGTGTGTCTGTGTGTCAGTGGGCACATCCATTATACAGACTTTAAACATGATACACATCACAACTGCCTCTGAAATATTTAATACAATTATTGGCAAACTAAATGAGATCAAATGACAATTCGTTTTCGTTTAAAAACACAAAGTGTCCGTCCAGTCCATTCTCTGCATGTCATTGAAACATTTAATAAGATCACAGTGCCTTGAAAAAAAAATAATTCACACCTCTGAACTTTTTCATATACTGTCAGATCACAACCAGAAATTCTAACCCATGTTGTTGCAAAATATACGTGCAAAACTGAAGTGGAAGTAGAACAAATGACTGAAAAGTGTGGCATGCAGTTGTATTCAGCTTCCTTTAATAAATACTTTGTAAAATAACGTTTCGCTGTAGTTTGAACCAAAAGTATTTTGGGGTTTTGCTGTTTGCAGCAAAACCCCAAAATACAGCACAATGCTGCCACAGTATGTGTATTCTTCATTTTTCCGACACAAACTGAGCTTTGTTTGTCCCCCATGTGGTCTATGGCAACCTACAAGCAGGCCTTCATTGAATAGTTTTTGTTTTGTTTGCTTCTTTGTCAAAAAATTTTCTCAGCTGAGCAGTGGATCTCTGCAGCTCCTCCAGAGTTACTCAGAGCTTCCCTGATCAACACACTCCTTTCCAGGTTTTTTATTTCAGACACTATGACTTGGTAAAACAATTTGAAAACCACGTTATCCACTTTCTCCTTCTGCACAATTTTGCACTACTTAGTGTTAGTACGTCGCATTCAATATAATGAAGTTTGTGGTTGTAACTTGATGGAATGTGGAAAATGAGCAGGAAAACATTTTTGCTTTGCAGTAAAAGGGTCTGGATTTCATCTTTTGTGTTTGCTAGAAAAAAAAAAGTCAATTCCATGACATCATTTGCTAATTAGATTCAAATACAAAACACTGTTGGAAAAACAAATAATATTAAGTCTCCAAATATTGTACATATACATGTTATACTTATTAATGACAATGGAAGTGAATAATGGAGCACCAGATTATCATTATTAGCTGCTATATCAATGTAGCTATAAATGTGCTCATGAGTCCATTGACTTACATGTAAGCGTTTTTGGGGTGACCGTCAAGGGGTTAAACTTTGTCCAGATTGCTAAAGTTCCTCTAAAACTTGTGTGCTGTGAATTTCTACACTAAAGGTAGCAGGATGCCACCCAGTGGTGGATAGGAAAATGAATGTAGGTAGCAAGGTGCCTAAACCTGTTTTCTAGCATCGGAAGTTTTTTTTTTTTTTTTGTCTATCAACAATTATTTATTGTCAGAAATGTTGATGTCAAATGTGAGGTATCAAGATTTTTACCTTTTCCTTTTCCCTTTCTTTGTGTCGCTCAACAAACTCTTTTGAGGAGAGGAACACAGGCATCCATGTTTCTTCAAGGTAAGGTTGGATTATTTCCTGGATTGCAATCGCAACTCTGTTTGAGAGGGTTTCTGACTGCAGCTTCTCCTCTCCACCTGCCTTAACTAGAATCTACACAACCAGAAGACATAACAGAGTAGAAGGGGGAAAGGAATGCTTATCATATTTTGTATAAAATGACATAAAAAAAACTCGAGACAAGTAAATGTACAAGTAAATGCATAAAGGAGGAACCTAACAGTGACACTCTCCCCTTCTTATCTCCGCCCGTGCTCTGCATTATTCCCACAAACTCTTCCCTTAATCTTCTAGCTTTTTTCAATCCTCATATGCTGATTTCTTCCTTTCTTACATCTCCTTTATTCCATTTTCCTTTTTTATCTGGAGCGCACACAACCCTGCTTGCCCTCATTTAATCTCGTAAGGCTTTTGAAATGAGAACCAGTTGCAGAGTGGGAATCAGGAGATGAAAGAGGGGCATTATGTGACTGGATGACTGAGCGACTGAGCGAGTGAAGGGCCAAAGCAGTAAAGCTGTCATACTCTCTGCATTGCACACACAGAAGAGAACCAACAGTGAGACATAAGAACGGCTCCCAGAGTCAACCCCCATAGAGTCAGAAGCAGTAGAACTGGCTTTCTAATTTAAAAGCAATTTTAATAATTGTTTTGGAGGCAATTATAGGATGATGCTGACAAATCACAAACATCTTGCCCCACAGTTTAGATCATGTCAACACAAGCACATTGTTTTTGTTCAAGAAATCGGAGTAAGTCCTGTGAATGAAGTCAGTTTGATCTCGGAGCGTTATTTTGAGCTGATGTAATAGACTCTGAACTAAAATTTAGATCAGGCCTAAAATAATCCAACCTGACCCAAGCAATTAGGCATTTTGTCAGAGCCTGATCCGACCTGACTAATTCACTTTAATTAGGGGCTCGGAGTCTAAAGTAAACCTGACATGTTATTTTAATTGAGATTTTACTGCTTACTGTTTTTAGACCACCATTTAAGTAAGCAGTGTAACATCTCCTGTCTTCCAGCTCCATCTTGTTGCTTGTTGTAAAAATGCTGAGTCAAGTGCAAATCTAGGATGTGGAGGTTGATAGGATCCTGTACTTACCACCATCTGGAGAACTTCTGCACTGCTCCTATATTTACACCATCATAAATAGATTAACACAACTTTATATCAAACATTCTCATTTGGTTTTCTCCGTGTTGCAACCTTATTAAACTCTCTCCAGAAGTCGGAGTCTAACCATCAAGCCAAAAAGTCTGGCCTGACCCAGCCCGAATTTCAGCTTGGGCCATAAATCCAAACGCTACGTTGAACAGCTGGGAGGTAAATCTAGAAATGATCCTGGAGCCCAGAAATACAATCTGAGATGGATTTAAACTTATAATTATTGTTTCTGAAGCTGAATAGAAACCATTTAATTCTCAGGAGGTTGTTTTATTGCCAATTCTCCAGCAGCACCCAGGATCCCAGAGGAAAGTGAGAAAACATTTCTTTGAAGCTGCTGCAGCCTCTGTTTACAAAACCTGTATACATTTATTGGTGTAAAAAATGTGTGGATTTTTAGTCAGATTAAATAAAATGTTACATACATCTTTCTGTTGTTTTTCTGTGGCAGGGCTGCCAGGACCAAAGAAGTAGCCTTCGTTCAGGTACTTTTTAACAATCATAGTTGACTTCTCCTGTCTGATGCTCTCGTCTGTCTTAGAAATCGTCTTGTACCGCTCTAGGTCCAACCAACAGCTCAGATGAATGCTGCACAGGAACAAAAAAAAAATTAAACCTTCAAATAAATCTCATCTTCCTCTATATACCACTTCTCTGCTTGGTACTACCTCTTACCTGGCATCATTTTCCTTCAAGGAAGTCATGAAATGTCCAATCTCTTGAGGCTGACGAAGTAAGGTCAATAGACGATAACCACGGAAAACTGCAGCCACTTTGGACCACAGACCAGCGTTTCGAATTCTCTTTGAAGGGAATGGCTCGATAGATATAGGAAGATTCATGGACCTCTGCTGCTCCACATGAAGAGACGCACAAGAGAAAATAAGAGAGACAGAAGAACACCATTAAATTAGTACTCTAAAGACAGTTCATCTGTGAGGATGGTTGCTGTGTGATACAGCAAAGGATATTCAGCTTTGTTCCAAAGGAAACAGGTGAAGATTGTTCCAGGTACATCCATTCTGTCTGTTCCATTCAAGGCTTCTTTCACAGTTTTCAAATCAAAACTCCATCTATTTAATTTATAGAGTTCTCAGTCCTTAAATTCACAGTTTTAAGGTAAAAATACAAATGTTTACCATGAAAAGAAATGGATGAATGATTAGCAGATGGATGTACAGGGTGACCCACAAAAATGTAGCTACTTTTTTTACTTTTCTTTTTTTACTTTTCGTACACTTTTCAAAGTGTACACTAATAACCCGAAAACTTTACAGCAGTTGAAAGACAATATTCGTAATGCAATTCAGAGCATTAGTGCCCCAGAGTTGCGTCGCATATATGACAATATGTTAAGGCGTGCCCAAAACTGCATTGACGTACAATGGGATCATTTTCAGCATTTTCTGTAAAGAATGAGTAAAGATTTTGGCATTTCAAGTTCTTTCTTTCTTTCTTTACGGAATGCCGCCAGTAATACTATAGTAAAGCGGGCTACTTTTTCGTGGGCCACCCTGTATAAAAAGGTGAATGGATGGACGAACTAATGATGGGTTTATCTTTCACACAAAAGAACAGAGTCTGACTTAGGGCTGGACAATAAATCAGTAATAGGTGTTGTGATAAACATGCGATCAATATCAATAAATAATACATCTGATAGAACATTCAGTATTCATTGTATAGAATATTCACTGAACTCTGATCCATAATCGCAAAGCATTCTGGGGGATGTACACAGAGGAAAGGCTTTAGCTAATCAACCTCTCATGGCGAGCTAAGCAAAAGTGG